GTAGTTTCATTTTATACTGTTTCCAAAGTGGGAAAAATCGCATGCTTCTTGATCAGGTCCTTTCATATGTATTGTATTTTTCTCACAATAGTCCGTTACTACCAAGCTTCCTTTTACTAATTTCTGCGTGCTATTTCGATGTATATTATTAGCAGTGAGTTCTTTCATTAACTCCAACAGAACAACCGAAACTATATTATGACTGGCAATGCCATTCAAAAATTCAATTCACTCATTACAATTATCCGATATTATCACTCGTACAGGTGGCGAAAGTGATGATATTGAGTAGTGGATCTCGCTTTCAAATTTTATTCATTGATGCAATTTTATTTTTGAATCATAATGTAAGATAAATCCGTATGATTATTTTCGCAATTTATTTAATAATAACTCAGCTTTCAAAGCCGATTTGGTCTTTCTATACCATGCACATTTTTTTTATTTTTCTTCTTCATATTGTAAAAAAAGTTTAGCATTTACACGACAGATCACAGAACATCTTTCACAAAACTAAAGTGACAACAAAGGAAAATATTGATAGACATGTTTCGGATAAACTATGTAACGGTTAACAATTAATCGTTTTACTTTAGCACAATTACATCGCATTGCATCTTTTGTAAAGTTTCTTGTCACCTTTTCCAACCGATCATACCAAATTTTTAATTCAGTTAAACAAGGTAGATGTGTTTTTGTTTCATTGAGAAAACGTTCAACATAATAAGTAGATGCATCATTCATGTCAAGTGCAATAAGACGAGGATAGTCAACAATTGAGCACCAATCAGTATGATACCGATGATTTTCGTGAGGTCTCCAGTTGGGTGGCTCAAAATTGTAAATAGATAAACTTTGAAGAAATGGAAAAGCTCGAGCAAGTCGAATAAAAAATTCATGTTTGAATGGTTTTTTATCATGTAATTTCAAATGAGTAACAGAATTGAATACAATATTTGGAATATTATTTGTAACGGGTTCGAGACGATGAAATTTAACTGGAAGTGAAAAAATGTGACAAATCATGTAGTCAAGTTCGAAATAATCTACTATAGAAGCGACCTGGCCAAGTTTTACATTTGTAAAAGTTCGTCCAATATCTGAATCCGATATACGAATAGCTGAATCAATAATGTCATTTTCAGAAGCAAAATAGAATGTAAATGTACGAAGTCGTAGCATATGACTAAGAATTTCATTATCAAGATAAATACCCGAGATGAATATGGATCCATACAAGATACGAATATATAAAGTTAATTCTTCAAGATATGACATTCGACGAAGAAGAGGTACAACTAGATTGTCATATCCTCGAGTACCAGCATAACATGTCAATGAAAAGCATTTTAATTTAGGCAGATCATCCTAAATAGATAACAATGATTGATAAAATTATCTTTGTTAGTGAAGCTAACAAAGAAATTCAAATGAACCATTAATCAATAGATATTATTCATTTCCCAAATTCTGTTTTAAATGGTTTCCGAATTCTATGAAATACAAGTACCGTCAGAAGTCCTAGGACATATGAAAACTAAGATAAAGCTAAACCATTTTTCACAAAATTTTTATCAGAGATAGAGCTCGAAAAGCTGTGATGACAAGCACCAACCGGAGCTTAATCGATTGAGATAGGATGAAGTTTCGGTTTGAAATATTGCTTCCAACTTTCACGGCGGTGATCTCAATGTTCATAGAATTTTTTCAGCTCCTTTTACTTAACAATTCAAACCAGCCTGTTTATCGCACATTTGACGTACGTTTCGATCCAATTTGTATGAAAATTACGTAAGAAAATCCGATAACCAGCCCGGTTTGGATTGATAAGTAAAAGGAGTTGAAAAAATCCTATGAACATTAAGATCAAAGTCATGAAAGTTGAAAGCAATGTTTCAAACCGAAACTTCATCCCATTTCAATCGATTGAACTCGAGTTGGTGTTTGCCATCACAGTTTTTCGAGCTTTATCTAGGTTTTTACATGTCTAGAACTTCTGACGGGTATACTGTGTATGTATTCTCTGGTAATAATCACTTCTTTGTGTATTGAGTCAAGACGCATAAAAACCAGTAAATAATTCAACAAAACCGCTAGATATTAGCTATATAAAAATGACTTTTCTTAAAATGTTTCAAAACACTTGATAAAATTGATCACATAGATCTTACAAGACAAAATTCTTCGTAAAGAAAAACTAATAGTTCTTTCAAGTGGGTATGTTCATTTGAATACTCAAAGTCAATGACACTCAAACGAAAACTAGATTCAAATTTTTCTTGTGAAACCAGCTCAAAGTTTAATGTCTCTCAGTATATCGAAGTCCAAAATATTTACTAGCAAAGATATAAAATAAAAATTTTTCTATACAATCATTTAATATCTGAAAAGAGGGATTAGCTACTTTCAAATTAGCAATGAGAAATTATGAAATAATCTCAAATAACATCAATATAAGGACAACAATCTATTCTATTTATCTCCTAATGAACAAAATTAAAATACCATGTTTATTATTGCACAAATCTCATTCTGTTTATTGTGCTATTATATGGTCAGTATTAGTCAGAAAACAATAATAATACAAAGTATGAACTCACCATGTTGTAAGATCTTGATATCCAATGAAATATACATCTAACTTGAACAATGAATGCAGTTAACTGTTTGAAACGACCATCAAGTAAAGCCAGGCAATCATCCAAATCGTTCACACTGATACATAATTTAGTAAGTGTCGAAGAGGAAAAAGTCAATGGTGGTGAAATATATAACGACAAAGGTGGATAATCGTTGATAGATGATGACATAATACTCAGATGCTTTAGATTGTCACAGAAAGTAAAGATAGTTGCATAAACATTCTTCGTATAGTCTTCTGGTATTATTTCAATGTTGTTCTTATTACTGATAAGAACAAGATCCGTAATTTGTTGTTTCAAAATCTGTCCAAAGTGAGAGTCATCTAAACGAAATATATATTTCATCTGAGCATTTGAATATGCTTCTAGTGGCGACGGAGCCATTGAGACCCGTGAGGTTCGAGCCTCACTTAGATCTAAAACGCTCCGCCACCCCTATATGTTTCTATGGTAATATTTTCAAAGATTAGTACACATGAATATCTTACCAATGAAATAACGTGAAACGACTACTTTATTGAAATTAAAAATTTTAAGTTGAGTGAGATTAGGATAGATGCCAGCACGAAGAATACATTCCATAGAAACCGATTCAACGATGAGTGATTTGACATTGTTATGAATTCTTGGCAATATATCAATACAAAATCGATTTAGTATGGAATTAGGAATTGAAGAAATCTCATCAGTTGATTGTAATATCGAAAAAAATTAAGGATGTTACTGAAGATTTCTTCTTGTGCTATCATATCGAGTCGTAGATTATCAATACCAATTAGAGAATGAAGAACATCGATATTGTCGAGTTTTTTCAAAATGAGAAATAATATTTCATTTGGAAGATCAAGAAGGTGAACATTATATTGATTCATCATTAAATGCACTGGTGCGCATTTTTTTTAGATGATGTGTATATATACTTATGTATTATTGATGCTTTGTTCATAAACACTCTCCTTATTGGAGAAAAACGGGGTTGACCTTTTTTTGAACATAACATATTATATTGATATATATAGGCCTCAAACGGTCAAGATAAGTGAGCCTCATCCTCAATCGCTACCTTCTACGTTGGTCACGTTACAAGTAGCGATTGAGGTTGAGGCTCACTTATCTTGACCGCCTCAAACAGACTAGACGAATTGAAAGTCATTTAAGAAATGTGATTGGCGTTTCTACTGAGTCAATATTATTGTATGTAGCAGCGAATGACGATTGACTTTGAGAAAGTGATTTACATATATGCATTCAACAGAATAGGAAAAGATAATGGATAAAGCACAACGAATGAATCATCATTTCAGGAAAACAAATCTTCGATTATTTCACTTCAGGATATTTTTTCATTGAATTTAAAATTTGATATTTTATAAGTTTACAAGCAAACTTTTGGATAATATTGATTTAATTATTGAATATCATTTAAATGAAATTGAAATAAGTATAAAATGGTCTTTGAAACAAGAATTCAATGCTAATAGCATCCAAAAAGAACAAAAAATTTTAAACAGAAAAAAAGGTAATGGGGGTAAAATTTTCGATGCTAAAATTTATGTAAAACTTTTACCAGCTCTCTGTTTCTGGAAAAGTATGAGAATAACTTTTCTTAGGTAAAAGACTGAACCGTTTGTATCTTAATCTTCTATGTAGTATAGCAGTATTATTCATGATACAGGTTTTACATCAATAACATCCTAGTCGCATGGAAAATAGTGGTTATTCGTATCTTCCAAAGACATGATGATACATTTTTTTTGTGTTCTAATTATATCGAAGACGGAAATCGTAAGATAGATATTCATGCGTATATGTCACACATGTCAAACCTGAAAATTGAATTCAATTATTGAAAATTTACTTCAACTATTCAGTTATTCAATTGTTGAATAGTTGAACTACAATTATTCACTTTTCACCACATGTGGGTGCGGAGAAAGGAGTTCGGAGGGGAGACGACATACATATTTTTCCACACACACATCAGGCGACCAGGTGTAGGTGCGGAGAAGGGAGTTCGGTGGAAGATGACGTACATATTAGATGACATACATATAATTTTACCCCCATTACCCCCATACCTTCTCAGAAATATGGGGACAAAATTTTATATAGATTTTAGCATCGAAAAATTACCCACATTATTTTTTTTCTGTTTAGAATTTTTTTCTTTTTTTGAATGCTATTAGCAGTATCCAAATTTGGAATTTTTTGTATTTGTTTGGTAAAACATCTTCTTTTTGGTAAATTTCAGGCTCTTGTTTCATCATTTACGCAAAAACTAATACTTGAAAAGACATTTCCACAACAAAATCAAGTTACACATCAAAATCTGAGTCAAGTTTTACATGTTTCGGCAAAACATATTTTTTTCCATGCGAAGAATTCTGTATCCCCATCAGTGCCTTTTTTGTGGAAATATGTTTTTTGCCGAAACCCATATCATTCGATACAATTTTTGATGAAGGAGCCTATTTTAATAGGAAAATGTGTTTACAAACATTACTTTTTGCACATCGGAGTCGTTTATCAGTTTCCGGATGAAATATTTAGTTTAACCGGAATATATTCGATGTTCTTGAGTTACAATACACATTATTATATTACTAGATAAATTTATTGAAAAGAACATGGCATCATTCATCTGTTCTTTCTAGTATATTCGTGGACAAATCAAACAATTATAGAGATATGATAACTTTGTATTTTCCTAATTGCGTCCAAACTTAAGGCTTACTAAGTTGTAATTGTTCTTAAAATTTGAGATAACCGCTTTAAGCAAAAGGCAAGAAGTCATTGTTGTATGAAGATACAATCATGACATTTGTTGGTTTTTTTTGCTTTGTTGTTATTCATATATATTAATTTTGTTTCCTGCATACTTTGAGTATTTTCAAAAATGCACTGTTTTATTGGTATTACTCATAGTAATACTTATATTATGTATCGATGTCACGACTCAAATCATTCACACGTGAAGTTATATAAGCGACGTGAGAATAGCCAATCTATATAAACATCTATTAAAATATAGGTGTACTGTTTGCATAGATTATATTTGTTGTACATCTAAATTAAACCTTAGTTGAAAACAGTCTATACTATATTAATGTAAGTATTCGATTTAGAGTTTTTTCTTCTATCAATATAACTTTATTTAGGGATCCAAGATTTTATCAATATATGCCACATTCATCACGACATTCAGGTCATCATCATGATAGAAAAATGCTTCCTAAACCTCGACATCGATATCAACATCCACCAACATATCCTGTAGATATGTCTATGAAGAGACCTCATCATAGGCATAGACGTCGTATGTTAATAAGAACATGAAAATAATAACAAATATTGTTCTATTTTTAAAGATAGAAGTCATCGTCATCGTCATCAACATGGTTCATCAAATTCAAAATTCGAAGCTGAAATGCTGAAATCACATAATTATTTTCGTGCTCGTCATTGTGCACCACCACTTGTTATAGATCAACAGTTAAATCGAATTGCTCAATCATATGCTCAACATTTAGCAGCGACATCAACATTTGAACATAGTGGAAATCAACTTGGAAATGAACCCTTAGGAGAAAATCTATATATGCAATGGATATCTTATGGTCAAGCACAAGCTTCTGCAAGAGATGCAATGCAAAGTTGGTATGATGAAATAGCATTGTATGATTTTGACAGACCAAGATATTCATCAGAAGCCGGTCATTTTACCCAAATGGTGTGGAGATCATCAAGAAAATTGGGTGTTGGAATAGCTCACTCACCTGATGGCCGTGAAGTTTATATTGTAGCAAATTATTATCCTGGTGGAAATATTGTTAATCCAGGACTTTTCGAAAATAATGTTCTACCACCGAATTGTTAAGTGAATCAAGTTTTTCTTTTTTCTCAAAATAAAAACATACACCTATAGCGAAATATATTTAAAATAAATGTTTTTAAGTTACAAGGATTATTAACAAATAAAATAATCAAAGATAAAAGTAGTTGTCTATTAAGAAAGTGTTCTAACATTGGACATGTTATAAAATTTCCGTAAGGAGAGTACTGATGCAATGAAGACAAAAACTCGAACAACAAATCGAATATGATGGTGAATTTATGTTTGATTCATCGAATGTGTTTAGCAGAGGTTCAAGTTGAACAAGCTGTACATATAAAACGAATTTCTTATAGCATCTAGATGGAATCCGACTTGCTATTCGAAATATTTATCAGTATGGAAAGAAAAGAAGGATTTAAACTTCATTTTGAACACATAGAAGTATCTGCTATAGGATATTTATTCATGTATGTTTATTCTTTTTTGTTTTTGACTTTTTAAACGTTAAAATGATGTGATCACATAGTGACGATAATAGTGAAAACTCTCTCTTTTTAAGAACTTTGTATCAGAGACTAGAATTATCGAAAGCAGATGACTTGATTTCACAACTTTGAAATAGATGTGATACGATGAAAAGTGTTATTAGTATACTCTTATACAGGAAAGAATATTATTGTTACAGAAAGTTTTTTTGTTATATTACTGAAACGCAGTGCCATGTCATTGTTTGTTGTCTTTTCTTTCTTGATATTACCGTAGATATTCTTTGTTTGTACTTCTTTGATCCTTGTTGATTTGTTAATTATGTAGCTATAATAATACATGATGTACTCACTAACGAAGTAGATATACTCTATATTTTCTACTAGACATGAAAGATAAAAGGAAACATATTTTTGTCGTCATTTTCATAGAAACACGCTTGTATTGGATGCGTATCTTTCGTAAACGTCGTTCATTCACAAATCTCTGTTTTAACATTTCATCGTTAGATTCATGATTCTATACTATACATATTGAATTAAGAGTATGTCTTATAATTAATAAAAGAGATTTTATTTGTGATGTTGACAAAACTAATTAGATGAAGATGATATCTTCTCATATGATGAAAATAGTGACCATATTGGTGATAATGAAAAGAAATCAGCATGTATAATTGAGGATCAAGTATAATTTGTACACATTTTCGAAATATAATCATAAGAATTTGAAACCAAACGAAATATCTAGTTTCAACATAGGAGGCATTGCACGTAAGCCACGACCATTTTAAGCATAACCTTGCTCAATCGATGTCATAGATTTGGCTGATATTTTTACAGTAGATAGCCCACATACAGTTAGGAATAAACTGAAAATTTCAGCTCAAATGGCCGATCCATTCTTGAGATCAAATAGAAATAGATCAATCTATATCCCTCCGATACAAATCAATCTGCTGGTCTCAACTCTCGCTTTTCAGCAATCGACTATTATGCCGAATATAAAATATTTAATCGATATGCTTGAATTCGAATTAATTTAAAAGAAATGCAGAGTTTAATTTCGCCGACGCGTTTCGTGTTATTTTATTTAAATATTAAAACATTTATCAGGGCTCTGCATTACAATAAAAAGCACATAAAAAACAAAAAGAGAAATATTCTCTATAGAGGATCGTATTTATAATCATAAGCTACATTTTAAAGAAAACACCGATATAATAATTTAAGAGGACTACGCAATAACATAGAAAACTATTCTAAAATTTTAATAGTACAATACACAGGATAAAAATTCAATATAAATTTCTGAGATGTTAACACATTCAAATATTTGGACACATATCCAAAATGATGTGTACAACAATGGTATTTCAACTGGCCAACCTGTTACTGCCGACCAGAAATACGTTTGTTACATCATATCGTTCCTTCATTATAATTGATATCATTATTTCGTTTACATAGTAATATTGATATATAATTTGATACTCAAAATTTGTAAGAATTTTAACATTTTATAGAATATCTTATAAATAATATAAAACTATTAAATTTTAGTGTATACTTGAATTCGAATTAATTTGAACGAAATACAGTGTTAATTTCGCCACTGGTCTTAGTGAAAATATTAAATATAATAATATTAAGATATTGAATCAAGAATAAATACGTTTTTTATTGACATAGGTATTATATTTGACGTATTGACAATCTGGATCATAACATTGATGTAAGTCAATCTTCCATTAAACTTTTAAGGTATCTTCGTAATCTAATACATAAATTATTTGATAAATTCTTATTATGTTGAAAAGTTTAACAATCTGCATCATGACATTTCTGTCGACAGATTTTCGTCTTTTCAAATTTTTAAATTAGATTCATTATTTAATGTTAACCCATAAATAATTAATTTATTATAAGATCATAAACATCATATTAACTATGAATTTTAATTTTTCAAATACTAGTAATTTCATATTAAAAAATTAAAAAGATGCTTGTTTTATTAAGATTATGCTACAAATCATAGCAAATCAAATAATCCAATATTTATATATTTACTAATCTTGTATACGTAGGTAATGTTAGCACCAGATTCGCGTATTTCCTGTGCCGATTCGCCCCTACGTCTGTGCTGGTCCTCTACTTGGTTGTGCTGGATGCAGAATTTATATATTTACTAATCTTGTATCTAATCGTCGTTGAAAATTATTATCGTTCCGAGTACCAAGAGTAGGTATAATATCATTAATCGGAGATTCACCAAAATATTTATTCCATAAAGCATGGAATTTAGCTGGAAATATCCTCATATTTGAACAATATGTAAAATGTACGAACACTGTCTTTCCATAATCTATAGGTACTTTTTCTTTTATTGGAGAATCTATAATTTTTTGACGATGTTGAGCATAATTATTAAGTGTTAACAATTGTTCAACATTTAATTTTTCCAAGATATAAGTAAATTGTTCATCAACAAATTTATTTGGATACGAGCTTGGCCAGCTAACGGTCACCTTCGATGTCGAAGGTTCGAAGTCAAAGAATCAGGATATTGAATATTTTGTGTCAAAGAGGATGATTAATAGTTTATACAACAGACGTCGCTAGCTACCGAATAACTTTCTATTCGTTGAAGCTAGCCGTATATGTTCGAACAACGAAACATAAAAAACGAATTTTTTTTGCTGTTACGAATAAAATANGTCGTAAGGCATCGTATGTGTCAACTATTAATAGTTTAATAGAGGATCATCGTTTTCTTCTATATAATATGGATATGAAAATTAAAAAATGATTATACTGTCATACCGTTACCATGTGTCTTCAGGAAAGATTTGCATATATAACAGTGTTTATGACATATTTTCTCTTACGCAATATTATATAAAAGAACCTCCGATGACCTTTTCTTTCGATTATTGAAAATCGAAGATGACTCGTTATTCCTGTTGTCGAATGACTGAACTTATCACTTATCCCTCTTTGATTCCAGCATGAACATTAGACATTGGTTTTAAATCTAGAATTTGTTAGACAGACAGGTTTTCATGAAATTATACCAAAATTGATTTGAATATCCGAGACATAAAAATGTGTTCAAAAGTTTGCTTCGAATAGCTGATTAACTACTTAGTAAAATGAACACATAGTGTGTTCTTTTAAAATTCACTGAAAATCGGAAAATAACATCAATTGAGACGCACTGCTGAATTTAGTTGGAGTTGAAGATGAGGCATTGATTGATACCAACTTAAAAAATTTTCATAGAAATATGTAACTAAGAGCGAGGGAATTCATTAATAACCGAGATTTTTACTTGTTTCCAGCTGAAACGTTCGATATACAAATGATAAAGATGAAGCAAGCTTTCGGAGTACCTCATTTTATACTATTAACTACTGGATTGTGAGAGGAGCTAGAAATCTTTTTCTTATACGAGCAGATGCAAAAATTAATTTTCTTATCTATGGTATAAAACTAAAAACTTTATACCTTAAAGTGATTGATGTCTAAGTCATAGAACATAAACAGCCCTAACATACAATCGGTTGAACAACATTGACTCCATACATATTCAGAAGTGTGTATAAAACACAGGGGAGCTGCTACAGAATTACCACTAGAAACTACAGAGCCTTTGCCTGAATTGTAAATATACTTCCCATGCAGACAAAAAACATCTTCAAGTTGGTGGCAAACTACATGAAAGCTGTTGAAACATTATTCAAATAGAGAAGTAACGGACTTCAAGACTTCACGGACCTTCAAAACTGAAATCTTATTCGTTTTCCCTTCGTGATAGTCTTTAAATGGTTTTTAGAAGTAAATAACTATCCACTTACAGAGATATACACAACAAGTCAATAGCAGATCGTTTACTAAAATTAAGTAATAGTTTACAAAAGTCTTTTAGACATCTCAATTCGCAGTCTTTATGAATGTTTTCCATACAAAAATTCTATCTCTTTTGAAAATGAATAATTTTTGAGATTAAGAAAAACTTTTTTGATGAAAGATGAAGTTTACAGATTTATATTTCAGGACTCTATGGAGATATGACCTTACGAAAGAGCTGCTACAGAAGTAATCCTAGGTTATTATATTTTGTTAAGTTAAAAAAACCCTACTGATGCACAAAACACATCTTTAAATGTCATGAACATTCTTTTATCCTCTCTCATTTATTCTCTGTTGTTTTCAGAGATTAACAGCCTTTGCAATACTTTTGTCTTTTCACTATATTTTATCTGAATCATGAAAAATACAATTAAATTTATTTTGATGCTTGTTTTCGAAGTTCCTGCAATTTTTTTCTCAATTCTAATCTTTGTTCACATTGCTCTGAATCATGAAGCTCGTTCAAAACTCAAAAATCATGGATGGCTTGTTTTGATTACCACCAATTTCTTTCAACTTGTAATTGATTTACCAATGCCAATGAGTTATTATCGTATGGATGCTGTTTGGCCAGCATCCAATACATATTGTGTATGGTGGACATGGTGTGAATTCTCATTAAATGCCATCGGGTTATTTCTAATGACATGGATTTCCATCGAACGACATGTACTTGTTTTTCATCCACACACAATACTCCAAAATCCATGGAAAAAATGGATTTTTCATTTCATACCGATCATTATTTGCTTGCTCTACACATCTATATTTTATTTTGTATTAGTAGTCATTAGTCCATCTTGTACAACTGTATGGGATTTTAATTCTATTAGTTGTGGCCCTCCATGTTATTTCACAGCAAACTTTCTCGGTCAATTTGATTTCATCTTCAATGTGGCCATTCCCATTATCATAATTATGCTTGCAAATGTAGCATTAGTGATTCGAGTGATCTATCAAAAAATGTCTCGTCATCAAATAATACATTGGCAACGACATCGTAAAATGGTACTGCAATTATGGATCGTTTCATCACTTTACATGGCATGTTGGCTACCTGCAACGATAACAGGGCTCATCCAAACAACTGTGATGCCTTCATTTATGATCGATCAAATGGACACGATTGGGCTCCTTATCTACTTCATTCCACTTTTTTTGCCAATGATATGTCTTAGTACACTGCCAGAATTGGTCAAGAAAATAATGAATGTTGCCATACCAAAGTTAAATGTGATTGGTATTGCTAATGTTAACCGAGTTACAACACAAGCAACGCCGAATACAATCCGTCAATAACTTTCTATTATGAACAATATAAAAAATGCATATTTCTCTCTTTTCTTTTCTGGTAAAAACAAAATAATATAAAATATGACTTGTCCGTAATAAACGAATCCACTACTTGAATATTTTCGATCTCATGCAAAATTCATACAACTCACATTATTTGAGAAGGACACAAATTATTGAGCAAGATGTATACATGTTTTTCGATGGATACTTTCAGGTCTCTCGCAGATATTTTCTAGAGGGTGTGGGTGTGCGAAGAGAAGAGTAACATCCACACCCACACTCACACCTCACATCCATACCCGATTCAAAAGCGATTTGACAGTTGAATATGTTTCCTCGGTGGTTAACTTATATTGAGTTGCTGAAGTCTAGTATGACTACAAAAAAATGAGACTGAATTATTAGCACGTTTTATTTATTCAAATATATTAATGAATCGAAACAGACGCGTATTTATTTTCACAGTTGACTATCAAAGATTTAATTAATACTGAATAAAAAAAAGGTACAAAATAGATGTTAATCTTGGCTATATGATAAGATGTTTAGTAGAATTTTGTGAAGAAAAAAAATAGAAAGATAACGCAAAATAATGTTTTATTCTTGTTCTTATTATTTAATTCGTAAATCTATATTGCATCCAAAATGATTAAAAATAAAATCTTCAATAAGTTTTCTCGCTGTTTCATCATTTAGTTCAAAAATTGTTTCTTTTTCTTCTGGACTTTCTTTTTTCACTATATACAAAGGATCATAACGTTGTTCTTGTACATTATACAAAATACAAACATATTTGGTTACTTCAAGATTTTTTTCACCGTAAACCAAAAATAATACCGGGTTTAGATTGTCTTTGGTATTCACTGAAATTAAACAAACTAATGTTTTGTACTTCTTAGACAGATCTTCAGGTGTACACCTAACAAGAGATAAATCTGTTGCCATTCCACTCCAACATGCATTGAATAGTAGACATCCAGAAAAATTAAGCATAGGCATTAGTAATTGTTGACTACTTCTAACATCTGAAGACGGATTGAGTAATTTAAGAATACACCAGTTTAAGGATTCATTATATGGAGTTGGATATCCATAGACTAATTCGTGTGTTGTTACGTCTAACATGGCCGATAATGCGTATTAAAATTATTTCAATAACTGAAATAAAAATCAAGTAATGACAATCTTACAATTCTCTGATATGTGTTATTTTGTAGAATAAAAATAAATAACTTTAGGTGCGCCCTTGTTGAAAAGTAATTGATAAGAAAAAGAAAAAAGGATGTTTTTTCTTCTTCAGAAGTAAATATGATGGATGCTTTTTTTCCTTAGTTTATACGTTTGGAAAGAAAACAATGAAAACTTATTGACTATTTGCTTAGAGAATAAATTGTTAATGACTATCGATTAATACTAAGTATGTAGTTTAAATCTATATTAAGACAAAAAATGAACTGATATAAAATTAAAAGAATATATTATTGAATAACAGTAACTCTCACAACTACATTACATTTATGGAAAAAAAGTGAAGTCTTCTTATGTTGATGCCATGCGAAAAGAAAAAAATATGAAGTAATAGCTGCTTAGTGCTTCTTGTTATATAACAGAAAGAGAGATGGAAAATAGATTCTATGCTTTTTCATATAGAACATTCGAGAGTAATGACGAAATTTCAACATGGATTTTTCCAAGGTTCACGAGACATTCCAAGCAATCACATACTCGGTAGATAATAGAGACTGTTAACGGAAAGTTTCGATCCAATTGATCGATAATAATAATCTTTTTTATTTTCCAAACGACAACTATCTATAGATGAATGAATTAGGAGAAGATCTAAGGAACAGTTGGAAAAGACATGATGAGATGGAAAACACCTATACTAAACCAACAGAGGAGAAGAAAAGAAAACAAAAGACATGTATATCGTACGTGTCATCTATGTACGACTGGAGAACAGAAGAAAGAAAAGGAAAATACCACATATAACTGATTCATCCTATAACAAATACATAATAGGAAAAGTCAGTATATGATATCATACAGACACTAAAGCACTCAATGACACTGTAAAAGTAACACAATAGACATCCATTTAAATAATTCAATGTGTATTTTGTTTCATGAAAATGAAAACAAATCTCAAAGAAATTAAATAATTATATGATTCATTTCATTCGAAAACCACACGTATCTTCATAAATAGTGAAAATGATTATTTCCAAGATCAATATTCTATTTTGATATACTTTCATTTTCTATTCTTCAATTATTGACATCATTTTATATGTCAAATACGAATTACATGAACGTAAGATTACAGATGAATGATTTAGAAAAGCTGGATAAAACTTTTCATGATTAACTCTGTTCTTTATTAGAATGTGATCAGATCTAATAATTAGTTGTTTCTATACGGATTAAGTTATTGAATACTTTGTTTTTTTTTATATTGCTATTTATTGTTACGCTCGGAAGCCCTTACAAGGAGATAAATTGAGATTACAAACTATAGTATGCACTAGTGTATAGTAACATATACAAGGGTTCATATTGTTGACACCACACTATCATAGTACGCTTTGAGCTTCTTGGGGAAGAGAAATCAGAACGAAGATAAAAAGAATAAACATAAAGAAGGAAAAGGCAAGAGGAAAATAATTGAAAGAGTATCTGAAAAAAAAGAGAGCACTGATACAGATAAGAAGAAAAAGAAAAATCAAGGGACAGGATACATAAGGAAAAAAGGCAGATAAAGAAGATGAGAATGCAAGAAAAAAGATTAACCAGAAAAAAAGGAGCACATAAACAAAAGTACATTGATGCACACATGGATATTTAATCGACAAACTCAATCGATTTAAGCAAAAGTCTCATGTATATCTTTCAATTTGTTAACTCTTCTCATCCGAAAAAAATGACCTAGATTATCTCCTTCACTTTTGTTAAAATCGTCCACAAAAAATATATCATTAAAAAAAGGAGAACGTCCTAAGTCCGATTTATAAATTTACTTTAATCTTTTATTAATGTAGGTTTTAAGGTAAAAATCGAGAGGATTTTCATTGGTTATTGTGAATACCTTCTGCTCTGATATAAAGGGACCCCGATGAACGAGTCTCACTTCTACACGAAATTTACGCCTTAAAATTTCTTGATGAGTTTTGGGTAGTATTGGAAAAAGGGAAAACAGCCAAGCGATGTGCGAAAAGGTATAGATAAAAAAACATGTTCGTAATACTGTGGTTGATAAGGGTGTTCCCGATCTTAAACATTTCAATTTATCAAGCAATCTCTGTATATTCTCAACACACCTGTCAATCGTTGGCTTTAAGGACAACTTACTAGGCCAAATAAATCTAAGATATTTAAAGGACTTTACGATTTCGATCTTTTGTCCATCCATGAAGATATTTGTTGGAGGTATGGCTACTTGCGAGTAGAAAATGTGGGCTACTGTTTTACTGACATTTATTGGCTGTTTCCATTTCTTTGAATAAACTGAACTTTGATTACATACATTAGTTCCTTCGTGTTTCTAAATATTCTATCATTGGTGAAAATTCTGATGATAAAGGAGGACGTATCAACACATTCAGATCATCTAGAAATACATGAGCAGGGTGTGCTTCAAAACAAGAAATAAGATCACTATGAAAAAACAATGAATAAGTATGGACTTAAGCTAGTTCCTTGTGGAAGTCCCGTGAAACTAGGGTGGGTGTGGGTGTGAGTGTAGATAAACTCTTACCTACACTCATACTCACACCCACCCACACCCTAGCTTTGACATTATTCAGAGCAGTTTATCTGTATTTTTCCGAGCATGGGTGCGCATTGTATCCTTCTCTAAATCCACCCATGCCCACACCGTGCAAATCATAGAGCTGTCAGATATGTCTCATGTTTAATAAAAGGGATAGATTTTGATATTCATTGCAAAATGTGTAAATTTATCTTATTTTTCCCTATTGAATTGTGTGACCATGATAATTGTTTGATCAAAATGTACTAGGAATAGAGTAGACCGCGTCTAAAGTTTTCGGATTCAGATCGACTCACACTGATATACAGACCCAAATGAATGTAATTAAAACTTAAAATTGTCAATAGTTTAGACTCATGCTAATGA